GGACTTCATTTTCATCTCCATTTTACCACCTGTAGAAGGAAGTTGATGTCTTTCCACCTTCATAAATGATATTGGTTTGGATGTTTGTCCCCTCCAGATCTCATGCTGAAATGTGATCCCCAGTGTTGGAGGTGGGGCCTGGTGGGAGGTGTTGGGTCACGGGATGGATCCCTCGTGAATGGCTTGGTGCCTTCCTTGTGGTAATGAGTGAGACTTTGCTCTACGAGTTCCCGTGAGATGTGGCTGTTTAAAGGGTCTGGTTTAAAGGGCTTCCCCCTCTTGCCATGCGATACCGGCTCCCCTTTTCCTTCCACCATGATTGGAAGCCTCCTGAGGCCTTCCCAGATGCAGATGTTGGCTCCATATTTCTTACATAGCCTGCAGAACTGTGAGCCAAATAAACTCCTTTTCTTTTTCTTTTTCTTTCTTTTTGTTTTTTGAGACACAGTTTCACTCTTGTTACCCAGGCTGGAGTGCAATGGCACGAGCTCAGCTCACCGCAACCTCCGCCTCCCGGATTCAAGCAATTCTTCTGCCTTAGCCTCCTGAGTAGCTGGGATTACAGGTGTGACACCATGTCCGGCTAATTTTTTTGTATTTTTAGTAGAGTCGGAGTTTCTCTGTGTTGGTCAGATTGGTCTCAACCTCCTGACCTCAGGTGATCCGCCCACCTTGGCCTCCCAAGGTGCTGGGATTACAGGTGTGAGCCACTGCGCCCAGCCCACCCCTTTTCTTTATAAATTACCCAGCCCCAAGTATGCATTTATATTAATAGCAACACAAAATGGACTCATACAATGAGAAAAGGCTGTAGGTCAGAGACTGGACTTCGGTGCTCTCGGAAGCTGGTGGCTTGGTATCTTGCACGCCGACATTCCATACACATGGAAGCTGTGTCATGTTGGGTTGCCTTTTTTAAAAATTGGAACTTTTTTTCCTTAAATTAGGAAATATACATTTCCTTTGATGTAGCAACTCTTGAGAAAGAGTGGAGGGCATTTGCATCTGAGGGGTTTTATTTCCACATTTAGGTTGGTCTAGCGGTCTAGCCTAGCCTTTTTTTTTTTTTTTTTTCCTGAGACAGGGTCTCACTCTATTGCCCAGGCTGGAATGCACTGGTACCATCACAGCTCACTGCAGCCTCGACTTCCTGGGCTCAAGTGATCCTCCTGCCTCAGCCTCCTGAGTAGCTGGGATTATAAGGCCTGCACCTCCATGCCCAGCTTTGCCTGCTTCTGCAGGCAGAGATGCAGTGAAACGACTCTAGAAAATTTTGGCCATGTCAGGAAAATGAAAAACATTAATAAATCATAACTTGTGTATTACCCTAACAAATAAGACAACTGTTTACTTGTTGGACAGACTGTCCCTGATTACAGGCCATTGGTGGCTACAGGTTGTTGACATTTTATTAGAATTTCACAGATGTGAGGCTGAAAAATTGTGCATTTTACAGCAGGGAGCTAAGCTCACTTCATATGTTAATATAGAAATACATGACCGGTGTGGTGGCTCACGCCTGTAATCCCAGCACTCTGGGAGGCCCAGGTGGGTGGATCACCTGATGTCAGGAGTTTGAGACCAGCCTGGCCAACATGGTGAAACCCCGTCTCTACTGAAAATACAAAATTTAGCCAGGCGTGGTGGCAGGTGCCTGTAATTCCTGCTACTCGGGAGGCTGAGGCAGGAGAATCACTTGAATCCAGGAAGCAGAGGTTGCAGTGAGCTGAGATTGTGTCACTGCACTCCAGCCTGGGCGACAGAGCAAGACTCAGTCTCAAAAACAAAAAACAAACAAATAAACCCCACAAAACACCAATATATAAAAAACCAATCCATTTTAACCAGAATTTGCTGTGAGGCCATCTGTACCAGGTACTCAGTAAGAATAGGAAGGTGGCTGGGCACAGTGGCTCATGCCTGTAACTCCAGCACTTTGGGAGGCCAAGGCAGGGAAGATTGTTTGAGCCCGGGAATTTGAGACCAGCCCGGGCAACATGACAAAACCCTATCTCTACAAAAAATACAGAATTATCCAGATGTGGTGGTGCATGCACGTGGTCTCAGCTACTCAGGAGGCTGAAGTGGGAGGATCACTTGAGTCTGAGAGGTGGAGGTTGCAGTGAGTTATGACTGCACCACTGCACTGCAGCCTGGGTGACAGAGTGAGATACTGTCTGAAAAGAAAAAAAGAAGGTAAGGGCCACTTGCCACTTATGGAGGGACACCGCCTTTAAAGAGTTGGGGACTGGTCAGGCGTGGTGGCTCATGCCTGCAATCCCAGCACTTTGGGAGGCCAAGGTGGACGGATCGTGAGGTCAAGAGATTGAGACCATCCTGGCCCACGTGGTAAAGCCCCGTCTCTACTAAAAGTACGAAAATTAGCTGGAGGTGGTAGCGTGTGCCTGTAATCCCAGCTACTTGGGAGGCCGAGGCAGGAGAATCGCTTGAACCCGGGAGGTGGAGGTTGCATATATCTTTAATATTTTCCGTAATATTTTGCCACCCACCCCGAGTGAATCTCAACACTCCTGGGATCAAGCGATCCTCCTGCCTTAGCCTCCCGAGTAGCTGAGACTACAGGCGTGCACAAATATGTTCAGCTAGCTTTTACATTTTTTGTAAAGATGGGATCTAGTTATGTTGCCCAGCCTGACCTCTAACTCCTAGCCCCAAGCAATCCTCCCTTCTCAGCCTCCCAAAACATTGGGATTACAGGTGTGAGCCAGTAATCCAGTGTGTCCAGCCTAAATGGCTGATGACAGATTCTTTGCTGACAAAGATTTTGGGGACAGCAGGGGTGAGGGCTGTGGGCATGTGAGACTGTGAGTCAGGCGGGGTAAAGTGGGCACAGAGTGAGGATTGCTGGGGAGGCTCAGGGATTTTGCTGAAAGCCCGCTTTCTGACATTGCCAGTCTGAGCTGTCCTGGCACAGGCTCCATTTCTCAGCGGAGTGGCTGGGATCTGGGAGGCTGTGGGTGTCCCACTCCATCCCTCACTGACTCTGAGGTCCTTAGAGATGATCCTGCACAGATTCTCTCAAGATTTTTAGGGCATACCCTCTGCAGTGTGCTCTTCCCATCTGCCAAGAAGATTTGGTCAACCTCGGTGCTGAGATAATTGAATGTGCTTTCTAAAAGTCCACATATCCCTTTCCTTCCTTTCCCTTTCTGTTAAGAGCATTACTGGCTTAGTTCGACCCTGTCTAATTTTTAAATTATAAACCCAGGCTCAAAAGAGGAAGAGGGTCACATGCATGCTTTTAGCAGCACTGAGATGGGATCTGGGGTTCACTCCAACACCACAGCCCAGCTCCCTCCTGGACACCCTGACACCCACTCCGAGTCACATACCCTGGAGACCTCTGGCTTCTGGGCACCAATCGGCTGGATTTATTTCACATGCTTATGAGAGGAAAATGATATTAAAAAGATCCTGTGGCTGGGTGTGGTGGCTCATGCCTGTCATCCCAGCACTTTGGGAGGCCAAGGCAGGCGGATCATGAGGTTAGGAGTTCGAGACCAGCCTGGCCAACATGGTGAAACCCCGTCTCTACTAAAAACACAAAAAATTAGCCAGGCATGTTGGTGCATGTCTGTAGTCCCAGCTACTCAGGAGGCTGAGGCAGGAGAATCACTTGAACCCAGGAGGCAGAGCTTGCAGTGAGCTGAGATTACACCACTGCACTCCATCCTGGGTGGCACAGCGAGACACTAACTCAAAAAAACCAAAAAGATCAAAGAAATATCCCCGAAAAACTCACTCCACAGTGTGGGATGCCCAGTGCCATGGGCCATTGTGAGGATGAAGTGTGGCGGTCTCAGCTAAGATACGCTCACAAAGAGACCGGCAGCTGCCCAAGCAGGGCAAGTTAAGAGAGGCGTCGTGGGAAGGGGGTCGCTGAGGATGGCTGTGTGTCCCTGACCCAGGAACTGTCCTCGACACAGATTCGTGCCCTATCAAAGGCAGCGGTAGATGCCGGGAGCCCCCCATAGGGCTTTGCTGTTACCCTCATCCCTGTGGCTACCTGTCTCTGTTCCTCTCCTGGCCATGCTCTGTGTCACAACTATTTCTCTTGCTGACCTGCCTGTAGCATGAGGTGTAGGGGCAGGGTGTCTAGCAGGCTGTGGGTGCATGTCTGCAAAATGGGCAGGTAGGTGTGTGTGTACAGGCATGTGTGTACATAGGCAGGCATGTGTATGCATATACATGGACAGGCA